GATTTGCTGTATATGTAACTCAGCAGCCAAGTTTCAGTCTGGTTTATATTGAACATTTGACTGTTAAGCTGTAGGCTGTTAAAAGACATGCAAGAGATCCCTTTAACTTGCTGATATAGCACTCAGGAATTAGACGTTCAGTTTTCATTATGTCAGTGGTATTTTCAATCCTTGTGGACTTTGCAATCCATGTATCAGTGTTGGAAGAAATAATGAACTTTATCATTGTATAGAATTTCCATATAATTTAAAGCTTTGCATTAATGCCTTTATAGGAACTTCTGTGAAACTGAGTTAAAGCCCTGAGTTTTAGTTTTGAGATTGTTCTTGATCTTGCTATGTTACATTTCTCAAATTTTAATGTCTTCTGGGCCTTAAAACCCTGGCTGTTCATAGTTTGGATGTTTTATTGTCTTTTCCTCCCACAGTGGTCCCCAATGTATAGGTTAGCAAATCAGTGTTATCTGAAACATTTGGGTAATAGACTTGAGCGTGATTCTTGGTCCTTTAAGCTTTACATTACTGATCTAAGAAAGGAGGTAAGAGTGTCTACCACCTCACAGTTATGTTGGCAACTGAAGGTGATGAATGTAAAGAACATCATAACTGACAACACTAAAATATCAAAGTTGACTATCACCACCAGGATCTATTTGGAAACAGGATTTAGGTAGGACAACGACATAAATAAGAATGTTAATCCTTATATTCATTAAAAAATACAGTGCCTGACAAAATTGTCAGTAGTGTTTTGTCATGTTTCCACCCTAGGTCCTAGGCCAGTTATGGCGAACCGTTTAGAGATGGGTGTCCAAACTGCAACCCAAAATCCACTTATTTATTGTAAAGTGAATAGTGAGGTTTTAGTTTAGAAAACAAAACTCACACATTAACAACTTTAGCTTTAAAAGAAAACACCTATGCCATGGGTTTACTACCACTGTCCTAGGAGAAAACTCGCAATCAACAAGCTTCAACTCTTATGTGTATAACACTAATTTCCTCCCAAATGTTACCCTTAGTTAGATAAAAGTTGTCTTCAATTACATTAATTTCTCATGGAACTCAATTTGTCGACATAAAGGTTTAAGAATTTATTACGCCTCTCACTTGTAGAACTTTTGTGTGGAAAGCACACTGAACTGCCACCTTGGCCCATAGAATTCTTTCCCACCTTGGAAATTGGTTCTTTGAATTCACATGAACGTACCTTCGAAGTGGTGTATAGGCTATCGCTTTGCATCCGCAACCCTGATCTTATATGTGGCAAATGTATAGGAGCTTAACTAGCCTGCATCTCAAGACAGTAGAAGTCAGGTGCCTTTGAGAGGGTTATGCTTTATTCAGCCTGGGCCAGGGATTTAGCTCAGTGGTTCTGTCGCCTGTTTTGCAAGTGCCAAGGTCCCGAGTTTGATCCCCGCTTTAAAAAGTATAAAATGTTTTCTTCAGCCTGTGGAAAAGTTTTGCTCTGGTTCTTTTCATTCTGTGGACAATCTATAATACTTGCCTAGAACCAGGACTTTTCCTTTGTACCTGCTAATGTCACAAACTGCCAGAGCATCTGGCCTCGGTCCAGACCCGGATTCTTCCTTTCCAGGCACCCTTTACCAAGCAGCTGGCCCGCTGCTGGCCAGGGCTTTCTGGCCGCTCAGGGACTGACCCCATTTCACTTGCCGGGTGCCCATCGGTGCCTCCTCCCTAGAACCCCGGGGAGAAACTAAAAGTTGGAAGTAGTCACGCCAAACACTTTCTCCACTCGCCAAAAACCCCAAAACCAAACAAAACACCCCCCCGCAAAAAAACCCAACAGCGCTGGGGGGCGGGTATAAGGCAAAGAAGGAAAGCCGAGGCGCAGAGTGGCGGGCGTCCCCGTCCACAGTGCGCGGGTTCTGGGGCCGCCAGCTCCCCTAGCCCTCACCCAACGCCCGGCGTGGCCCTCTTTCCCGGAGGACGAGGTCG